TGGACATGCTTAACATAGAGCAAAGACCAGTGGATGATTTTACATAACAGAAATTAATTTCGTCCTAGTTTAGAAATCCGAAAGTCTCCCATCAACGAACGAATGGATAGAGAAGCTGTGGTATATTCACACAATGGAATACTATGCTGCATCGAAAGACAAGGAACTCATGCAATATTATTCAAAATGGTTGACTCTGGAGAACATCATGCTGAGTGAAATATCCCAGTCACAAAAGGACAAATATTACATGGTGCCACTGTTGTAGAACGGGACTGACCGTGGGGTTGGGGAGAGACTGAGTAAGATGGGTTCAATAATGTATACTGTACTGAAACAGAGGAGGGAGAAAACTGTTTAAAAGAGAGGTGATTAGGTATTTTCTGTCATGACAGGAGTCTAGAGCAATGGCTACATGGTGGAGTGGACCTGGGGGAGGGTTTGTAAAACAATGAAAGAATTTTTCTTTTACTTTTCCAAGAGGGTAGTATTCTGGGGGGGGCCTTAGGAGGGGACAAATGTGCAACAATGAACAAATGGAAATCCAAAGCCTCTGTAAATTTTTACTGAAATTAATAAGAAATTTAAACTTTTACAAAATAATTAAGTTAGAAAAAGGATGGCAATGGATTTATAACTGCTCAAGCTAATAACACTATATCGTGGCATGGAGGAGGAATAGTGGAAATGTATCCACATTTACAACATTCCTCTTACCAAAACCATTTGTGGAAAATAGGAACTGCATTGGAACATGTATCTCTGGATTGGAAATGATCATATTGTTAATATTTCTAGCCTTAAGCTTAAAAAATCACAATGTTCAAAATTATTTGTTATACATTTGTTTAAATTTTTCCCTCTTTTAACAACTGGGATCTAGGGGGAAAAGAAAAGACCAGAGAATGGCCAAAATTATTGGGGCAGCTATCGATGCTAGTTTAGGACCTGTGTCAGGAAAAGAAAGTCTTACTCATATACAGTGCCACCCAAAGGTAATAAAGGAGGTCAGAATTGCTTCCACTGTGGAAAGCTGGGCCACTTCAGTAGACAGTGTCACAGACGAGAGCCACAGATAGGCAAGGGAGTAGAGAGGAAGCTCCCACTCACTTGCTTTAAGTGTGGATCTGAAGGACACGTGGCCAAGGGTGGCCTACATCAGGTCCTCATGGCTGGCAGGACTGAACAGGCCCCATCTCCCAGCTGGAAACAAAGGAGGACGCTTCAATGATTTAGATCCTCCCAAAAGAGCTGTGGGTGAGCATTAACATTACTGGTAAGTATATTCGTTTTCTCATGGACACAAGAGCCTACTATCTGGTCCTAAAAGCCTTCTGAGGTCCTAACTCTTCTCACCATATCTTAGTTGTTGGAATTGACGGAAAACCTCATAAACAGTTCCTTACTTCACCTCTGCCTTGCATGCGGACTTCCAAGTTGTAAAACAACCCAGTGGTAGATGGAAGTTGCTCCAGGACTTAAGAACAATAAATGACATAGTTGAACCTCTAAATCTTGTGATTCCTAACCTTTAGACAAAGTGCTAGCCAATAGGCCTTTTATTTTAAGAACTACCTTCCCTCTGTAACTTGATTGGTGCCACTATTAGAACCTCTACCTGAAATATTATTGCTTTTCAATTTTTGACTCATGTACTTTTGTTAGTTAAATCTGTGTCTTCTAGGCTGCAACACTTCCATGATACATCTTCAAGGATATGAACATGCACAGCTAAGCACAATTGATAACAGTGCATCTAAATTCCAAAATCAATCTCCATAATAGTCTATGTGTTTCCTACTGCCAAAGGGGCCCTTTAGAGTAGTGACAGAAGATCTTCACCCTGAAACCTACAGCGTCCCTTTTCAGCAGGAAGTAGCCAAGAGAATATGCCATCCCCTTTTCCTTATGAATCAGGGTGAAGTCTCTCAAGGAGGAATGATAGGTAATGGCAAAGGACACACTGACAAAGGAGATTAATCAGAACTGGATTTGACAAGCATTGTGGCAATTGGACAATTAAAACAGATTTTCAAAGGGGGGGAAAGAAGAATGAACTGGGGAGGAGGGTAGAGAAAATAGTGCAACAATGAATGAATGAAAACCCCAAATCTCTGTAAGTGTTCATTAAAATTAATAAAATTTAATAAAAAAAAAATAATCTGAAAGTCTGAAATCAGGACTCTAGCACCACAAGGGGTTCCTGTCAACTCTGGAGAAAAGATCTTGTCCTTTTTCAGTACGAGACATACTGAAGGTATTCCTGGGTGATGTACCTGAGCTTCAGGTACTCTGTCCTAGACCTATGAAGTTCTTAGTACAGAGCCCAGATCTCAAGTGTGTTCTCCTCTCCTGGCTGTTTTGTTTTTGTTAGGATTCATTAAGTAGAGTATGTATGACTCATAGCGACCCTAGAACAGATCTGAATCCTGTCCAGTGCCATGTTCACAATCTGACATCTTTTAGCCCATTGCCACATTAACTGTCATTTCATCTGGTCATGGGTCCTCTTGTCTTGGGTCCAGAGACTCAATGTTAGACAGCTAACCTAGGACTACTGCCCCATTCAGCCAGAGTCAGGGGTCTACCTCCAAGACTGTGGGAGTCTGGATAGATATGTAATTGGCAGTACTGAGAGAGCTTTTAACCATGGGGCTTGAGCTGTAAAGCTGAAGGGCCTGAAAGCACACTTTTGTTATATACCAAGTCAGAAATGACCCATAGCTGATCTCCAGCAGGTTTTCAGAAGCAGTTAATTGAACTGGAGGAGACTGCCCATCCTCCTGCAGAGAAGCTGATAGATTCAAACTGCACATCTTCAAATTGCAGCACAGCTTCTTACCACTAGTCCACCACACCTTAGAAGCCGGTATTCTGAGAAATTATATCCTATGGCCAAGCGTGAGTTGGGAACTGTTTGGGGTTTTTTTTTAATTTAAACCATAATTGTATTATTCTGTGACGTGTGTAGCTACTGTAACAGAATTTTGAACCCTAGAGAACAGTAGGACTGGTGCTTCAATTACAAGTAGGTGCAGGAGGCTGACAGAACATCAGACCTCATGGAAATTACTTTTGTGCTGTAGATAAACTTGATTGATAGGGACACTTAACCACTGCAGAGTTAATCAAGGTCAGAAATGGCTGTCTGTTTCCATACTAGCCTTGTTCTTTGCACTACCCAAATTTTAAGTGTGCACTGGGGACATTTTCTTAGTGACCATGTTTAGGGAGTAGGCTGACTACAGGCTCACCAGGCAGCTCATCTCTCTTTTGAGGTCTTCTATGAGAAAATACATTTTCAATGAGAATCGAGGGTGAATATTTGAGACACCAATGAGATTAAGTGAATCTACTTAGCTTATTTGAAGAAAGGGCACATCAATTCCTACTCTACCCATATGTCAAAGAGCACACATGAGCTCCCTCATCTTCTATATCTGCTAAAGATCTGTATCATGAAAGACATGCTCTGGAATCCCACTGAGAAAGAGCTGAGCAGACGTTATTCCTGTGAACAATAATTACAGTACCTCTATAAGAAGACATTCAGGAAACATGAAGTTGACTCCAAGAGCCCAAACTAACGTCCAAGGTCAAAAACAATTGTAGGTTCTCCCTTTTCAATCAATGAAAATACAAGATACAGAATAGATGTAAATCTGTAGGTGATTTTGAAAGCTCAGTATTTGTCACTGGGCTGACACAAAGACAAGGGTTAAAAGAGCCTGGCTTTAGAGAGGACTTCTTCCACAGATGGGATCTCTCATGCTCATTAGAATTTGTGCTCTTACTGAAACATTTCCCACAGGAGTAATATCCTAACTTGCCTAATAATCCCCTTAATGAGGAGTATGGCTGTGTGAAATGTGGGTTCCTTTTGCAATGGATGGAGACCCTGGAGAGCACCAGGCCTGGCACTGGATTTATAAGTGGTGTTAAGTAGCATGAGGGTAGGTTGGACCTCTAGGGAAATGGTTTTATCTTCTGGATATTGTTGATGGGGACACTTCCATATTGTGGAGTTAACTAAGGTAAATACTTGTCTGTCCCCATATTGACCTAGTTCTTTGCACTACCAACATTTAAGGAGTGCACTGGAGACATACTCATAGTGATCACATTTAGGGAGGAGATCCGGCTACATGCTCACCATGGAGCTCAACTTTCTTCTGTGAGAAAACCCATTTTCAATATGAATCAACATTTCAGATACAAGTGAAATAACAAGTGGATCTACTTAGTTTATTTGAAGATAGGGCACATCAAGTTCACATTGTACCCACAAGTATGAGCACACATGAGCATCTTAGTCCTTTTTATCTGCTTGAGCTCTATATCAGCAAGACATGCTCTGGAATCCTTCTGATAAAGAGCTGAGCTGATGTTATTACTAAGAATAGTAATTATAGCTTCTCTGTTAGAAGACATGAATAAAGCATGATATTCACTCCAACTGCTCAATTTAATTTTCAAATTCAAAAGCAACTGCAAATTATCCCTTTTCAATCCATGAAATCTTGCAGGTGATTTCAAAAGCTCAAAATTTGCATCCTCACAGACTCAGACAAGGGCTAAGGATCTGGCTGTGTAGAGGACTTCTTTCTCAAGTGGGATCTCTGATGTCTGTGAAAACTTCAGCTCCCATTGATACTTTTCCCAAAGCAGGAAGATTTATAAGGTTTATCTAGTAAGTATATGGACTCTCTGATGTCTAATTAAGCTGGACTTATATAATTCTTTTAACAGACAGGACATATATAACATTCCTCTCCTGTGTGGACTCTGTGGTGTCTAAAAAAGCTTAAGCTGTCAATGAAACTTTTCTGAGACATTTGTAGCGTTTCTCTCCTGTGTGTGCCTGCTAGTGTCTATTAAAATGACACCTCTGAATGAAACTCTTTTCACAGAGAGAACAGTTAACAGTTTCTCTCCCTTGTGGACTTGCAGATGTCTATTAAATATGGATCTCTCAAAGAAACTCTAGACAGAACATAGTTTTAGGGTTTCTCCCCTGTGTGAATTTGCTGGTGTCTATTTAAGGAGGACCTGTCACCAAATCTCTTTTCACAGACAGGACATTTATAGGGTTTCTCTCCTGTGTGGACTCGCTGATGTATATTTAAGGTGCATCTGTGGCGAAAACTTTTTTCACAGAAAGGACATTTATAGGGCTTCTCTCCTGTGTGGACACGATGATGGACAGTAAAGCTGGACAGCTGAGTGAAACTCTTATCACAGAGAGGGCATTTATAGGGCTTCTCTCCTGTGTGGATCCTGTTGTGCATATTTAAGGTGTATTTGTGGCCAAAAGTTTTTTCACAGTGAAGACATTTATATGGCTTCTCTCCTGTGTGTACGCGATGGTGTCTATTAAATTGGGACCTGTGTAGGAAACTCTTTTCACAGACAGGACATTTATATGACTTCTCTCCTGTGTGGACCTGATAGTGTACATTAAAGTGGGCCATATGAGTGAAACTCTTTTCACAGAGAGGACATTTATAGGGCTTCTCTCCTGTATGGACCAGGTGGTGTCCATTTAAGGTGGATCTACTGCCAAACCTTTTCTCGTAGAGAGGACGCTTACACACTTTCTCTGTTGTGTGGATTTTCTCATGGCGACGTAATCCAGAAATGTCCCTGAAGCCTTTCCCACAGTGCTCACAATTGCAAGTCTTCTCCCTTGTGTGGATTCTCTGATGCTTTAAAAAGTCTGAATTCTGTTGAAAGGCTTTCTTGCAAGTGTGGCACTGAAAATACATCTTTGCAGTATGAGTTCTCTGGTGAAACACAAGCTGAGAATTCCTAGAGAAGGTTTTCCCACACTCTCTGCATGTGAAGAGCTTCTGGGTTGTCTGATGTCTCAACTGGTCCTTCTTGGGGGCCTCTTGTTTCTGCTTGAGCAACTGCCCAGACAGACCTCTTAGGTGAGAATCAGGCAAATAATGGTTCAACTGTTTCCCAGAAACATTTTCCTGAGAAGAGAGTGGCTCCTGTTTCTCTTCAACTTGGAGGTGTCCCTGTGCCTTAGGGAGATAATCTACTCTTCCAAACCATCTTTGTTCATCCTCACCAAAGAAGTCACTCAAAGAATCCTGAGGAGGGGCGTCTCCTGAGATGTGACAAGGGGCATCTGATGGCTCCTGGTCGCAATAGGTTTCTAAGTTGAGGTTCTTTTGGGCATTCTCTTGTCTGTCTCCTAAAAGAAGAAAGATATACAATATTGCAGTAAATTTTACCCTGTTTTTTCCTTAATATGACAAGTAAAGAGCATCATAAAAAAAAGGGCTGATTTTACCAAGAGGCCATTAATCAGCAAGGTCGTAAATAACATCACCCTTTCTAATGGCAGGGCACTAAATTCAGGTGCCTGCATTCCAGATTAAATTCCACTCATGAGGGAAAGAAAATTTTGCAGAAACAAATAAGGGCTCATTGGAATTTTATTGGTTCCTCCACAATTAAATAGCATAGATTTATTATGAGACAGAGGGGGGAAATTGCCTAATTAAACGTACTGATTTTGTTCTTATTAAATGATTGGTCTTATTTAGTTACGTATTACAGAGAAATACCATTAAGCAATTTTTGAAGAGGCACAATATATGCAGAACAAAATCAAAATCACCCTCAATCACATGCTAGTGAGAAACTATTAGTACCATTTGCTTCCTCTCTTTTTTTCAAAAGACTACAACTGTTCTTTTCTCACACAATACTGGAGATTTTGGAAAAATACAGTTCTTTGTCAAGCTTGAATCAAAGAGTAAATAGGTCACTTATAAGTTTTATAGACATTCTTCCATTCACATATAATCAAACAGTTAAACAAACGCTTTAGTTTCTCACTTTACAATTTGAAGGTTTACTATCATGAAGCTACTGCAGAAAAGTGAATATGTTGGTGTCTGGCTTAATCTAGCATTCATATCTATTATTAAGTCCCAGAAAACATTAAACATATTTCTGTCCTAACTTTGGTGTTGGTTACTATCACTACACAGAGATGTATACTTGCAATTTCTGTGTTGGCAGTAGAATGCCTTGTCTGTTCTGTTGTTCCCAGGGAGCTAAAGAAGCAAATGACCTTTCTTTTCTGAGTATCAAGGTCTTTCAAGGCTAATACTAAGAACAAGGCCTTAACTTTCTAATGCAAACATTTTCTTTTAAATGGCAAAGGTGTTTTCTCTTGTCTTAAAGGAGAAATATTATTAAATATTATTTTGTAAGGGTTGAATAATCATTCATCATGGACGTATACTACATATAATTTTGTATGAATTCTCTCACTGTACAAAACTAATTTCTTAAGTTTTCACTGGTATAAATACTGGTATGCTTTCTTTATCAGTCTTTCTCTGCATTTCTGATCAATACCTTAAGGACCTGACCCTCCTGGCAATAAGCCCAAAGTATGCGAGGGATGAAGGAAAAATGAAGTTTACATATATTACGTAACATGGATCAACCATTAAATCAGTGCAGTAAGAAAAATAAGTCAATCACAAAAGGATAAATATTGACTCTCAACTCACTGATGTCAAGATGAAACTGACTCACAGCTGATCCTCCAGGAAGTTTCCAAGGATGTAAATCATAGGAAAGGATACTGACTACCTTTCTCCTGAGGATCCACTGGAAAATTCAAACCATCATAACTCTCTAGACAAAACACCACCAACGCTCAAATATTTCAAATCTCACTAATATGAGCAATCTTTGTTGCTGTTCAATGCTGTCAAGTTGCATATGACTCACAGAACCTTGTGAACAACAAGACTTGCATCCTGACCTATCATGTGCCATCCTGATCATTTCTCATACATTTGAGACCACTGTGGCAGCCATGATGTCAAACCATCTTGTTAGGGGTCTGTCTTCCTCTCTTTTGCTGACAGTCCACCTTTTCCACCATGATATCCCTTTCCAAAGAATAGCCTCTCCTAGTAACATGTCCAAAGATGAAGACGAAGCTTCACCACTCTTGTTTCCAAGGAGCATTGTGGCTGCACTTTTTCCAAGCTCTATCTGTTTGTTTTTTGGGTAGTACAAGGACTATTCAGTGGTAAAGAGCTGTACTTGGCATTCAAAGGCACTTGGATCAATGAACTGTTACTGCTGTGGTGTACCATGGTGTGAGAAATGTTCTGTAGCTAACCTCTGGTGGGTTTTCAAAGGCAGCAAATTTCATGAAACGAGATGCCCATCCTTCTCCCATGAAGCAATTGGTGGATTCAAGCCATGTGCTTTTGAAACTGTGGGTAGTTTCTTACCAACGGACCACCACAGTTTCCTATGAACTATCCAGGACAGGCAATTACATAGAGATCAAACTTCAGGAGTGATTTCCAGGGACAGGGGAAGGAGAGGACACAGCAATCATTTTTGTAAGCACTGAGTTTCTCTTGATGGCGACAGGAAACATAGCAACAGATTTTGATGACAGTTGCACAACAGCATTCATGTAATGATGCCACAAAATGTACAAATGAAAATATTATGCTGGGAAATGTTAAATTACATAGTTATACAAGAATAACAAAATATATTAACATGTATATGTTCATACACAAATATATGTAACTGAAATTTCCTAAAATATCCATATCTACCCCTAATGATTTTGTGGCATTTTGCTATGCACCTGCGCACTAGTCAATGAATAAGGATAACAGAAGAATTCATGCCTTTAGGTTTGATGTTGGAGAAGATTACTGAACATCCAATGACCTGACAAAAGAACAAATATGTCTCAGAGAAAGTATAGCCAGAGTGCTTCTCAGAAGCAAAGATGATAAAGTTTCATCTCATATTGTTGTTGTTATGTGCTGTTGAGTCATTTGTGACTCATAGCGACCCTATGTACAACAGCCCTAAACCCTGCTCTATCCTGTGCCAATCACACTGTCTCTGACACACCCATCCCGATTACCCCAGTCACTGAATCAATCCACCTCATAGAGGGTCTTCCCCTCCGGCACTATCCCTCCACCCTCCCAAGCAAGATGTCCCTCTCCAAGGATCTGTCTCTCCTTACAACATGTCCAAAGTATGTCAGATGAAGTCCCAGAATCCTTGCTTCCAAGGAGTAGTCTGGTTTAACCCTCTCCAGGTATACTGCTAGGACAGGCTATTCTTTGGAGAGGGACATGAAGCTTGCAAAAGAAGGCGGTCAGTAAAAGAGAAGATACTCAACCAGGTGGATTGACACAATGACTGCCAAAATGGGCTCCAGTGTGTTAGGAAGTATGAAGATAGCCCAGGAAATCACAGGGTTCAGATCTATTGTTCATCAGGTTGTTATGGATCGTACTCAATTCAAGAGCACGTAATAACAACAATCACCACTACTTTTGAGTTATTCTGGTATCTTCTCTTATCCATTCATTGTCTTATAAGATAAGCTGCCTATAGTAAAATTATCTCCTTAACCTCAAAGGGAAGTTAAAATACAGCTAGAAAAATGCTTCTTTAAAGCTGTCCAAAAATCCCCCTTATTGCTGTCAAGTTTTCTGGATCCCAGTGGACAGAAAGAACAGTTTGTCATACAATTTCTAGTCATGATTTTTTTCTTTTTCCATGGCACTAAAGTTGATGGTATAAAGAAATTAATATTCCACCAGATACTCTGCTGGAGAAGGAGGGGCTATCTCCTCCTGTGCCAGTCAGATCTGAAGCGATGATAAAACAACAACAAAATGAAATTAATATTGTATGTCTATATATCTTTAGGAGCATCAGGATAAAACAGTCAGCCCTACTAATTTTAATTGCCTATTTTTCTGAAGTAGACCATCAGGCCTTTATCCTGAAGTGTCTCTGGATACTCACATACTTTGGGCATATTGCTAGGAGGTGTTATGCCTTGGAGAGTGACATCATGCTTGGAAAGTTAGAAGGTCAATTAAAGACAAGAATACCCATAATGGGATGTACTGACACAGTGATGGCAGAAAAAGGCTCAGGTGTGTCAGGGATAATGAGGATGAGCAGAAAAGTACAGGGTTCAGATCTGTTTTTTATAGGGTTGCTATGAGTTGTACTTGATTCAACAGGCCCTAACAACAACAACAAGCACTGCCTCTGGAGAGACTGGAAGAAGCACTTGCTGCTTAGTAGCTAATGCAAAGGTTGGACAGTTGGGTTGTTCAGAACTGTAATGTTTAATAAAGTGCATAGAAGGCAAAGGGTGTGATACTTTACAACAGATCAAGTTCAGGTTTCTTACCCAGTATCAAAATGTTTCATTTATATGAAGCATTTCTTGTTTCTACTACTTACTGGAAAGAAACTGACATTAGAAGGTATCATGATTGGAGAAAAACCCATCAACAACATCCATTACACAGATGACACAATCGTACTTATAGAAAGTGAAGAACATTTCAAACACTTATTACAGAATACCTATGGATTTAATAATTGATAGACTCAACATCGAAACTTTAAAAGGATTGGATCACAACATCAAGAAAATAAAAATCTGGACCAACAGAAAAGGATAACACTGAAGAATGAGACCTTTTAAAGATTTAGTCCCTGTGTACATCAAAAAATAATTCCAAGAGGATGAAAAGAAATCCTGCTGATGGAAAAAACCATGTGGTAATGATGTCTCAAACAAATGCCTCACAACAAAAATTTATAGAATATAACAAAACGTCCACAAGAAAAAAAAAACTAATAATACAAATACAAAATGGGCAGATACGAAAGACCTTTTACAGATGAAGATATTTGGTGGGCCAACAGACACATGAAGAAAACCTCAAAATCACTAGCAATAAGAGAGATGCAAAGCAAAACCACAATGAGATATCATTTCACTCCAACTGCAGTGGCAAAGTTTAACAGGACAGCAAGCAATAAATGTTGGAGAGGATGTGGAAAGACTGGAACTCTCATACACTGTTGGTGGGATTGAAAAATAGTACAACCACTCTGGAAGGCAGTTTGGCATTTTCTCAAAAATCTGAATATAGAGATTCCTTATGAACCCGCTATTCCACTGCTAGGAATATACCTCGAGGAAAAAGAACTGAGACAGAAACGGAAATTTTTACACACACATTCATAACATTATTAACAAAAGCAAGAATATGGAACAGGTCAAATGTACATCAACAAATGACTGGATTGAGAAACTGTGGTACATTCACAGGATTTAACTACACAGCACTCAGAAGCAAAGATTTTTAAAACTACTATATAATATGGGTGAGGCTAAAGAGCATTATACTGAGTGAAGTAATTCAGGAGCATAAGAACAAATACTGTGCAAGATCATTATTGTAAAATCAGAAGGATAATCAGTAAGACATACACAGACATACAAAGAGAGAAGGAGGAGAAAGGTAAACTGAAGGCAGGAAGGGGATAAAATCATGAAGTCCCAATTTTGGTGGGTGGATGGAGAAGCGAATTAAAAAAAAAAAGCACAACAAAAATGTACACATATGAAACATAATGTAAACAAATTAATGTATGATAACCAATTAAAAAACCAAACAGTACTTATCACTGAATGAACTGGAAACATCATGACAGATGAACAAAATATTGGAGTTATCTAGGCTTTAACTTTATTTAAATCCACAATCAACATACATGGTAGCAGCAGTCAAGAAATCAAGACACACTGCATTAGGAAAATCTGCTGTCAAGGACTTTACCAAAGTGTTAAAGAACAAAAGCATCATTTTTATGACTACGGTGTCCCTGATTCAAGTGACAGACTTGTCAATTTCAATTGGTTCCTATGATCTGAAAGTTAGACAGTGAATACAGAAGACCAAAGAAGAATCATTGCCTTGAACTGTTGTGCTGGTGAAGGGTACTGAGTATCCCATGAACTCCTAAAAATCAGTCTTCCTTTCTTAGAGGATGTACAAACAGGTAGCTCTTTATTGGCAAGGATGGAGAAACTTCATTTCATATATATTGGACATGATATCCAGAGGGACCTGCTGTTGTTATTGTTATGTGCCTTAGAGTCATTTGCAACTGCAAGCAACCCTATTTACAAAAGCTCTATCTTGAGCCAGCCTCATTGTCTTTGAAACACCTACCCCATTACCCTAGTCACTGAGTCAACTCATCTCATCCAGGGTTCTCAACTCTCTTGCACTATCCGTCCACCTTTCCAAGCATGATGTCCCTCTCCAAGGACTGGTCCCTCCTTGCAACATGCCCAAGGTATGTCAGATGAGTCTTAAAATCTTTGCCTCCAAAGAGCAACTTGGCTTCACCCTCTCCAGGAAAAACCTTTTTATTCTACTAGCAGTCAACAGTATATTTAATACTCTTCTCCAGCACCACAGCTGAAGGGCATCTATTCTTCTATCATTCTTAGTCTTTGTCCAGCTCTCTGAAACATAGTAAAAAAATTCAAAGACCATGGTCTGGATCAGGTGCACCTTAGACTGACATTGTTGCTCTTCAGTACTCTGGAGAAATCGCTGACTGCAGATTTCCCCAATGCACTTTATCTTCTGATTTCCTGACTGCTGGACCCAAGTGTGCTGACTGTGAAGCCAAGCAAACTAAAGCTGTTATCAATCTCAATCTCTTCACCGCCTATCAACTGGCCCAGTGGTCAGGATCTTTATTTTCTTGATGTTTAGCTCCAATTCATACTGAAGGCTGCAGTCCTTGACCTCACAGAGCAAATGCCTCAGGAATTCCTCAGTTTTGGCAAGCAAAGATAGTCCTTGGGGAAAAAATATCATGTTAGGAAAGGTGAAGGCCCAGTTTAAGAGATGATGACCATCAAGTAGATGAAAGGGCACAGTGCCTGTAAAACTGGCTGGAGCATGCTGCAGCTTCTGATGACTGCACAAGTTAGGGCAATGTTCAGATCTGTGCTTCACAGATCTATATGAGTTGTATGTCCACTCTAAAGCACATAACAACTACAACAACAATGTTGAAAGAAAGTTAGAGACTAGAGAAACCTCTTTTTCTACTTATTGCTTTGCTTTATTACATATAGAATGAGGTGGTTACTATTCATTTTAACCAGACTTTGAGAAGACTACTATAAACTATCTTGCCAGTAAGGACAATGATGGACATTATATAACTTTTTAACGGAATTTTACGTGTGTATCTGTCTCAATCTTAAATCTCACTGGAAAAAAGGAATCACAATTTAAAAAAAAAAAGCTGAAGAGAGAAGATGTATGTGAACCTATTGTTCAATTGTCCAATACATATGTGAACAGATCTAGAAGCAGTAATGAAGAGATCCACACTCAATATTACATCTGAGCTGATTCATCCATGGCTAGTTATAACGAAGGAGTGGAAACCAAAGGGTAACCACGTCAACCACCACATTAGCCTTAACAAGGGAAGGCCAGTAATATCCAAGGACCAATGGACGCTGACTCCCCACTGCAGGTGGGTGCCGGGATCTTCTCAGTGGCATCAAGGGAGAGTCCTGCCAGCTGTTCCCCATACTCTGCTGAATTAGCTGGGTCAGGTTTGGGACTGGCAGTGCCTGGCACAGAGAGATATCAGTTTGTGACCCTGTGTGAGCAGGGACAACGGGGAGAGCAATCTTGTCTTCCAAAGGATTCTCCAGACAAACATGAAAGAAACCATGTAGGCCCTGGATAGGACACTTATCTGAGAAGGACATGGGCCTGCCAGACTTGTACTCACAAGATACCAGGATATATGCTGAAAAGGAGGGAAAGCAGAGTTTGCGATGGTGGACAGAGGATTTTGTAGACCACCAGTGAGGTTGGGTCTAGAGTCATGACTGAAGCCCATTCTCCTTTGGGAAAGGCAGTGTGGTCCAGTGGAAAAGAGCAGACTCTAAGCTGGCTACACTGAGTTTCATCTTGACTTAGTACTTAGGAGGCATATGACACAGAACTAGTTATCGACCTGACTGATCATATTCAATATGGGATATCATCTCTACTTCACAGGCCTGACATGGAAATAAAAGAATTCTTGCATGCAGTGCTCCCGTTAAGAGTTCTAAGAATTGAATGCAAAGACATTCTTGCTATATCTCTGCTAGCTTCCCCTCCCCCTAGTTCCCAAGTGTGTTCCTAATGATTTTCCATCCTGAGAACTTCAGACTGAACTTGTGTCTAAAAAAGAATATTTAAACATCGACTAAAAATATCCCTTTCCACTTGGTAAGCCATGACCTTACCTCCTGACACCATTTTCCCATAGTTCTCCAGCATTAGGTTCCAGTAATGCTCCTTCTCAGGAGTATCTAGGTGTTTCCACTGCTCCTAGAAAAAAATACAATGTTATGGCCTTAAACATGGCTCCAAAAGAAGGTATGTAATCCTGCCTAGAGGAAAAGTGAGAAGGAATGAAGGTGCCAAAGAAGTCTAAAAGCACAAGATCTGAGAAACCTAAGGAGAGAGACTAATGGAAGAAGAGGCTGAGAGTAAAACTATAATCCCTACTGCAGCATTTCTTGCTCTGAGTAGAAAACATTAAAGATTTAACTTCTATGTGTATGTCTGAAGTCATATGATTCTAAGGATCCACTCTTTCTGTTAATGGATATGTTTTTCAATCTCTCCACATTTTTTTCACTCTCCAAATTACTTCATCTAAGAATCTGACATTCTCAATATTGAATGAAATCTAGAAATTCCAAGGTATAAAGAAATGAAAAAGGAATTTTTTTGCCAGTGCCAAATTGCAAAACAGAAGGAATCAACAACACAGAAGTTGACTGTGTTTCAGCGCCATCCAGAGACAAGACTGGTGTCTTCAGAGAAAGGGTAATTCTCTTTATAATTCTGAGTTTAAGATGTAATACTCATTGAATGGATGAGTTGTCAGGAGTAAGGGAGTCTCACATGTCATTTAAAGGAAAATTCTCTGGTGGCTTGTTGTTGATTGCTGTAAAGATAAGCACTATTCATAGCCACCCTATGAACAAAAGACCTGAAGCCTTTCTATACTATTTTAATTTCTAAAAGTTTTAAGAGTTTCCGTAAGCATGTTGTTTACGAAGTGGATGCCACTTTTGCATGGTGATGAGGAACTGTACTGCCAAACCAAAGGTCACAAATTCAAATCTACTTGCTGTTCTGTAGGAGGAAGGTGGGCAGCCTCTTCCCATTTGATTTACTGATTCTGAAAACCCACTGGAGGGTTAACTATGAGTCAGTTCCAACTAGACAGTTCATAACAAGAGATGGAAGTAAAGGGAGCTCTGGTGGCCCACTCTATACAGACTGTGCTGCCAAGGCAGAGGTGGTGCCTCTGTGGTGTTTCACATTCACAGCTGGCTCCGCAGGACAGAGAGGTAGTCTCCTCTCATGTGATTTAGATTTTCCAAAATCTTGCTGGAGAGTCAGCTATGAATCTGTTTTGACTTGACAACAATGAGTTTGAATATTGAACTGTGCATAACGAAAGACCCAAAAGAGGAAGTCCTACTGCCTTGTGGTTCTATGACCTTCAGTAAGTTAAGATTTTCTGAGCCTTAGTTTTCACCTAAATTCTCATCAAGAATGGGAAAAATTAAGACCAGGTTTACAGATCCCTCATAATCTGCTTTAAGAAACACTTACTTTTAATTTAAAGTATTCATCAAGTTACTGTTATTATCAGTAGAGCCCATTACATCTGATAGAAATTCTATGATTAGGAGGGAGTTAAGGAAATAGTTTTAAGAAATAAAGGCAAAAATATTTTCCAAATCTCTTCAGAATAATTTCACAACCAAGCTGAATGAATTCCAGTCAGAAGATACACTTGAAATTACTTCCAAGTACACTGCAATCAATCTTTTAATATCAGGCAGAAACTGGGAAAACAGGTAAAGGAAGGAAAACACGTGATGTGCAAAATAAAGAGAAAATATGGTATGATTTCATTTTATATAAAATTCTAGAAAATACAAATAAATCTATAATGACAAATCAGATCAGAAGCTGCCCAAAATGGGAAGAAAAAGGGCAGCAAAAAGGAAGAGACAGGGAAAGTAAATGCATTAGGAGGACATGTACAGATGATGGATAAGCTTATCACATTTAGAGCAAAGATCAGTGGGTGACTTTAAGAATAGAAATTGATTTGAGAACAATCCAGTTGATGGTTATACGGTCTCAATACCATTACTTAGAGACTGAAGAAGAAAGCGCTCATGATTGAGCTAGGGTGCAGAAGAAGGGGGGAATGAGCGACTCCATTTTGTAACCAATACATCATTTTAAAAAACTGAAAGCGTTGGGGGAAGGGGGAAAAGAGCCCCCACCCAAACATCAGCCAATTCTGTATCACCCTGTTTTCGCGCCCTTCCTTTGAACCAGCCAATCCTGTATCGCCCTGTTTTCGCGTGCTTTCCCCTTTAAATAGGTGGGAAAGCCCAGAATCGGGGCCGCGCCATTTTCCCTGCTGTATCAGCATAGTTTGAGCGAGGCCCGGATTCGAATCTGAAATAAATTCCCTCTTGCCCTTGCATCGGTGTCGGCTCCTTGGTGACTTGGGGGGGAAACTGGATTTGGGGCACAACAGATTCTCTCCCAGTTTAAAATGCCAGAAGTCCAAATTCAGGGCACCAGCTCCATAAGATGGTTTCCCCCTGTCTGTCAGCCAAACATTCCTTGGTGATGTACCGTGTCTTGGCCACTCTTTACCCTAGGCATAGGAGGATCTCAGCACAGGACCCAGATCTAAAGTATACTGTCATCTCCTAGCTGTTTGTTTTTGGTGTTAGTAAAGTTCTCCTACTCTAACTTCCTTTCATCTCTCACATGAGTGGGTTCAAGAAAAGATTTGTCTCATCACAAGTCTTTTCTACCTTTGTTCAGGACCTAGATTCCCTGATTCTAAAGGGCAATTAGAAAAACTGAAATTTGTGCTGCTAAAATTCAAATTTCACTTCATGTTTTTTTGTTCATGTTATCCTGGCGAGGGCCGCTTCCCCACTGCAGTTCTGAGAATGCAATCATTTTGGTCTTCCTAACCAGCAGTCAGGAAATCAAAAGACAAACTGAAATGGGGAAGCCTAATGTCAGGAACTTCTCCAAAGTGCTAAAGAGCAATAATGTCAGTCTAAACACTAAGGTGTACCTGATCCAGGCCACTGTCTTCGCAGTCACTTGCTATGCATCAGAGAGCTGGACAATGATAAAAGAAAAACTGTTATCTTTGATATGTGGTTCTGGAGAAGAATATTGAACATACCATGGACTGTCGAGAGAAGGAACAGGTCTGTCTTGGAGAGAGTGAAACCAAGTTTCTCCTTAGAGACAAGGATTGTGAAACTCTGTCTCATATACTTTGGGCACGTGGCCAGGAGGGACCAGCTCTTGGAAAACAGTTAAGGGACAGCACAGGAGAGGAAGACCCTGGATGAGAAGAATTGACAAGGTAACTGGGGCAATAGGATTAGGTGTGTTGGAGTCAGTGAGACTGACTCAGGACAGGGCAGAGTTCAGGGCTATGAGTCACAGGCGACTCAACCGCACAATAAAAGCAATTACTGGAGAATGCTCAAAACTGGTTCAGAGGCAAAAAGGTAGAGAAACCTGGCTCACCTGAGAAGGTGCTTGGAGAAGTGAGCCTCCTGAGTCCTGGTCGCTGATGAGCCTTTCCTCCAGTTGGGGAAGAAGCTGGGGAGCAGTCATCACTGAAGTGAGAAACAGGAAGTTTTAAGACTCTAGATGCCCTCTTCAGTCACTCGACAGAGGGTACTGATTTACAAAAAAACAACACACACACACACACACACACACACACACACACACACACACACACACACTCCCAAACACAACATAGAAACACTGGCAACTTAGAAGTGGTATTTCCATTCATAACTTCAATATCTGTACTTGTATCACTAACAAAGTCCAAATCCCTGTAACATGCCAAAGACCATCACCCATATATTCTCTCCCCACTCTTTTAAAGTCCCAAATTAGATTGGTCTAATGCAGAAATAAACTGGTTGAAAAGGCAGATATAAAAATTCCTAATCGGAGTGACTTGTAAACTTCAACCTTGTTCCTAAACTTTCGTTGGACACCACAATCTGAATACACTTTCAACTCAGACAGCCAGGACCCTAATTTTCACTGAGAAGTCCCCAACACCAACATGAATAAGAACTGGCCTTCATCTAATCCCAGCTCAGTGTCAGCTTCCTCTTTGATGATGTGGCTCAATTGCTCCTCAGGCTGTGAGGTGGAATTCTGAAGTCCCAGCTCCTGAGGCACCACTTCAAGACTGGCCTCTGCCTCCTTCACTTGGCAGCTTGCAGATTCCACCTCCTCAGGTGAGCTTTCCTGTCCCAGAACCTGGCTGCTGATCTAAAGACAATTTATTATAAGTCACTATAGGATGCTGAGTTAGGATTCTTGAAATCATCGTGAAGTCCAATTTCTACAACAGATTACAGGACAGTCCTTAGTGAACAGGTAACACAGAAAAGACAGTCATCTTCATTTTTCAGTCAGCAGGTATTCCAGGTATTGATTGAAATATGACACAGAGGCCAACTGTTGACCCTGAACCAGGCCTGCAATACCTTCAAGGCAGGCCTCTAATAAAGGGTTTCAATTGTAAAGTCTGTACCAATTAGAACTTAACCAAATGGAAACATCGGAGGGTTCTATTAGAAGGGAACCAAAGATTGTACCTTCAATTCCTAATAGCTAGAGTATGTAAAGTCATTAACACACAAAGGCAAAGAAAATAAAACAGCTCTGGAAGGGTTCATGGCAACTCACTGCAACACCATGAGCAGAGTAACTGCTCAGGGTTTTCTTGGCAATAATCTTTATGAAAAGTAGATAAGAAGGTCTTTCTTTTAATGGTGTCACTTGGTGGATTCAAAGTACCACCCTCTGGTTAACAGTAGGATATAAATCATTTATACCAACCAGGCACCTGACAGGCACACAGAATCGTAGATGAGGCAAATGAACACCTCAACAGGACCCTAGATCCCAATACCCTCTGCTTACCCACTGCCACAGTCTCTGTGGATCACCTTTCAAGCTCTCCACTAGCGTCACAGCCTCCTCTCCACTGCTGGGATGCTGTGTGCGCACCCACATCTGGATCTCCCCAGGCAGGATGGTCAGGAACTGCTCCAACATGAGGAGCTCTAGGATCTGCTCTTTGCTGTGAAGCTCTGGCTGCAGCCACTGGAAACAGAGCTTCCGAAGTTGCCTCAGGGTCTCGAGGGGCCCAGACAGCACCTGGTATTGAAAGCATCTGAAAAGCTGCCGGGCAGCTTCAGGGCTGGTGAGTTCCCCTGGAGGGGCAGTAGCTGCTTTAGGGAGAGGGGAGTCCTCTGCCTTTGTCAGTAGTGGCACATGGACCAGGGCCTGTCCCAGCTCCAATGACATCATCTAGTTTGTCAAGTTCTTTCACTTGAGTAAAGTCCTTCTGGATGGAAGGGTGCTCTAGGGAGAAACAAAGTCTTCACACAGCCTCCTGCAGGGATACCAGGAAAGAATGGAGTTCCAGTGATGCAGAAAGAACAACATGATTCTATAAACAAATTCACATGAGAAGCCTTGGACTCAACCATAATCTATCCAACTACCCAATAGATTAATAAAAAGAAAAATAGTTGATACTGAGATGGCTCCAACTCAGGTGGACAACGTTTCTCAGAGTGGAATTGTGCTCCACAGTGCTGTCCATGGTTACTCAGAAGTAACCAATGGATCTTTCTCTCAAGACATTACTTGATACATTCAACTGCCCACCTGTAAGTCAACAGCAGAGGACTTTAAATGTTTACACAACCCAGTGGCCCAAAACATGCATTCTTTCTTTGTGAACAGTGTAGGCTTGTAGCCACAGATCAAATGACCAGCAAACACCCATTCAAACTGTCACCATCATCATGTCTGCTTTATAACATTCTTGGTTGGTCTTAAAAGTCCACACCACGTAGAAGAATGCCATCAACTTCATGAAGCATTTTCACTACTGGCTTCCAGATACATAAAACTCCTGCACTTAACCTTTCTGAATTAAATCTGTCCACTTAGAGACTGAAAGTAAAGCTGGACAAGTACACCAGTGCCCTACAAATAAATTCCCACGATGCTTCTAGATAAACACAGATTGAAGAGAACAAAACACTCTTTCCCAAAAGATGCAATGAAATACCCAGTGGCCTCCTTTCAGTGTCATGTTGGAAAGTGGGCTCTTCGGGAAGTGATATCACACAGCTTTAATCTTGGGCTTAAAGGATTATTTAGCACAAATATTGGCTACCTAAAAATACACCTATTCTCTTGAACTAAGTAACCACTATTTCATGGATAATATTAGCAAAATTTCCAAGGCTTCATCCAAAATAGAAAAAATAAATGCAAAATAATAAATTAAAATTATATACCTTTTGATGTTTTGATGAGAATTATCTGGAAATTTTAAAACTCTTCTCACAGTGAACAAGTAGATCTGAAAAAGAAAAAAAAAATCAAGTATAATATGGAAAACCTAAATAGCACCATTAATTGTCCTGGTTTTGGTGAAATTTTCTAATCACTAAGCCCAGTAACTGTAGAAAACACATTTTGAAAACCTGTAGAAAACACAAGTTGCCACAAATGATGGCTACAGCTGTCCTGCACGTTTCAAAGCAAGGTTGTCAATTTAAAAGTGTGCAGCAACGTGTTAACTACACGTAACACATTCAACAAGAGAGTTCAAATGCATATTAAGTAGCAAATCACAGGGTTGTATAGCATGTTTTCTCTGACTATAATCCCATTATAATTCAGTAACATATTTTGATATATAGAAATTATTAACACTCTAATAACGCAGGTTCAAAAAAAAAGAAATCATATCCAACAAATTCTTTGCTGGGTACGGAGGGGCAATCTCCTCTGATTTGATTTGATTTGACAGTACACAACAAGAAAAGGAAAAAAAAATAGAGTAAAATGAAAACTGAAAAAAAAAAAAATCAAAATTTGTGAGTTCAACAAAAGCTTTGTTTAGTGGGATTGTTGTTGCGTATCTAGGTGTTGGAATATACCTATAGCTGAGCCTCCAGCAGGTTTAATGTGGGACACCATGAAAAGGAAAAACATGAACATAATCAAAATTCAAAAACAAGAAAAAGAAAAAAAAAGCACTGAGAAAGTTGTGTAAGAGTTACTAAAAGAAAATATTCCAGGAATAATGAAGAATCACAGAATATACATATAAGAAGCTAAGCAAACAAAAAATAGAATAGACCTGAAAAGAAAAATATCAAAACATATCATAGTCAAACTCACTAGAATCAAAGACAAGGAGAGAACTCTGAAAGCAGGTAGGGAAAAACAAAGAGTAATTTATAAGATCGGTCGCTGCGGCCCTCAAGCCTCACTTCCGCCCAAGACCATGCTTGTCAGAGCTTCCGAGGGATTGCTCCCGCCGGAAATCCTGGGTGGCGGGAGCAAGCCCTCAGAAGCTCTGACAAGCGTGGTCT